GCCAGCCATTCTGACTTTTTAGCTACTGTATATACATATCTTTTGTTACGTAACTAAATGTATATTATGGATTATTATATTGAAATGGAGAGAGAACAAGAGTATATTTTAGCCTGTGATTCAATATGCAAGTGCTAAATAATATAATAAATCTTCGATTCAACAATAAAGTTTACTTCTTGCATAACAAATCCTACAAACAAATAAAATACATAACTCATAGATAATCGACCAATGAATTTTTAATTTATATTCCTACGTCTACATACTACATCACTTGAACTAATTTGAGGATAAATGAATCTATTCAGCGCGTGTTTAGTTTGAAGCCAAAATCTCAAAAAGTGCTACAGTACTTGTCACATTGAATGTTTGCGATCCATGCATAGAACATTAAATGTAGACGAAAAAAAACTAATTACACAGTTTGGTGGGAAATTACGAGACGAACATTTTGAGCCTAATTAATCCATGTTTGAATACTATTTACCAAATAAAAACGAACATGCTACAGTAGCCCCAAATTCCAACTTCCTATAACTAAACACAGCCTCACTACTTTCACAATAACTTTGGACTTGGGTCGTTGTTGGCTTGTTGCTGTTGTCTGGCGTTCTACCTCTGTAGCACACGGCTGCATTGCACTACTCCCTATAATGTGAACAGGACACTACCCGACACTTGGAAGCCTTGCTACTACTAGCCCACTACTTGGAAGCAAGGATGACGCACTGTTTGACAGAGGCAAGTTGCATGTATATCGTCCGCGTGCGCCTCACGCCGGCTTCGTGGTGGCCGACATGAATAAAGACGTTCGCTGGGCTGGGCACAGCCCCAACGTCAAGTCCCATCGCACAAAGCCGCACACAGGTGCGTGTAGGTCGGCGCCAAGATTTGTGGCGTCGAGTTCGGCGTTATGTATTCTGACATCGGACTATTGGCTACGTCAATATCATTTAGGATACTCTATTGTGCTCGGCAGGCACCTCAGCGTCAAAATCTATGGCGCCGAGACGTGTTACCTCGACGTCATGAGTCCTGGCGCCGATCCCCCAGGGTCCAAAGATGAGTTTAAGTCTTCAAGAGAGGCAAATGTAAATTTTATTAAAAAGAAAGGTCAGATCGTAAAAAATTAGGTCGAAGCACGGGGTTGCCCCCACCAGCCAGAAGGGCCCACTTGGCAGTGATATCAGTTGCTCGCCTATTCCTGGCGCCCCCGCTCACATTGGAAAGGGGACCCACCCAATTGGCTCGTTCCTCGCCGGGCTCTCACCGCCGGCGACGGCGAGCTTCCACGGCTCCTCCTTCTAAGTTATGGTCTAAGGTAAAACTAGATGAATTGTAACAGTTACCATATGGAGTAAATAAGAAATTTGGGATGCATATCAATTTGGGATGCATATCAGCACATGCACCATGTGGCAACTGTTACAATTCATATGGAGTATGTATATGAAATTACGATGAGTTTTACCCTCAACCTTTTTTGAGAAACAAAAATAATTACGACGCAAAGTACTAAGTCTGATTAAAAAGACTTGTATCATTTTTTACAACTTTTCACCGTTTCAATAGTTGTGGTGTTATCACTTTTTACTCTTCGTGAGCATGACATAAATCCAATAGAAACTAACGTCAGTCTCAGCAAGGATTTCATGTCTCGATTTCCAAGACTTGTTAAAAACAACGTAGATTTTATTCCTATAAAACTCATTTCACTCTTATAAAACTTAGATCATCTCACTGGCGGTGACTGATGGCGAGCTTCCACGGCGCCTACTAACATTTTTACTTATTAATTATTAATTCCACAATCCTCGTATTCTCTCCAGCGTCTTTGCATAGTCTAAGGTAAACTAGATGAATTTTAACCGTTGCCATCTGGTGCATATGCTGATATGCATCCCAAATTTCTTATTTATGTATATGAAATTACGATGAGTTTTAGCCTCAACTTTTTTTTAGAGAAACAAAAATAATTATGACGCAAAGTACTACGTAAGTCTGATTAAAAAGACTTGTATCTTTTTTTTTACAACTTTTCACCGTTTCAATATTTGTGGTGTTGTCACTTGTTACTCCCATACTTGGGCGAGCGTGACATAAATCCAAAGGAACTAAGGCTAGTCTCAACAAGGATTTCATGTCTCAATTTCCAAGACTTGCTGAAAATAATTTAGATTAACTTTATTCTTATAAAACTCATTTCACTCTCATAAAACTTAAATAATCTCTCTTTATTTATATTATATCATGTCAACATATATTTACTAAGTTGTTATCTTATTTAATACCCATGAAACTCTTATGAAAGCTCACTAAGACTGGTCTAAGAGATGAATATCAAAACTCACACAAGATATTGTAAACTTAAGTCTTTACTAAAGAAACTTCCTATAAGGCTAGTTTTCGTCGGGGTTTCATGTCCTAGTTTCTAAGATTCCTATATGTTGCAAACCATACAGACAAGTTTGTAACACCCTCGGTGTTACACAGTGAATCACTTGCTAAAACATGTCATGAGCATCATACTTAAGTGATATTACATGTGGTGTGATGGATAGGTAAAGCATTGTAACTTAAACGAGTCGTAAAAACGTAAAACGAAAAGTTAATTCACGATTTATAAAGTTAGCAAGTAGAGATGCTAACTAATTTTTATTGAACAAAAATGCTATAAAACGTATATGTGACACCTTAATAAAGTTTGAAGTACACATTTTGTAGAAGATAGTGCAACTTTTGTTTTAACAAGATAATAACGTTAGCTAACATTTCTAATAGCTTGGAAATCGAATTTGAAGCAAATCCAACTCAAGACGGTCAATTTCTTAAGTCTGAAAATACATTGACAAAGCTATGTTTGGTAATTTATTCTGTAAAAATTGAGTTTAGGAGTGGTGTCGTTCTTTAGCTCTTCTTGATAGCCTAAGGTGCCCTCTTTAGAGTAGTGAAGGTGGTTTAGGGATTGGATCAACTTTGTAGTTGTTTCGAAAGCTTTAAAATCCGTGCACAACGTGTTCTCCGGTTGTTTTTCTCGGCTGGACGCGATCACCATGCCGAGCGGCCTCGACGTCGTGGCGCTCGGTGCGCGCAAGCGCGCGCGTGGCCGCGTGTTGGCCGGCTAGAGCTGCCCGCGCTTTGGCCGCATCACTGGCCGCCTCGGGCTGCCACCGCAGGGAGCCGTGGCTGCCCGACTCGCCACGTCGCGCTGCCCCCGCCTGCTGCCGTTGCTGCACGTTTCTACTGTCCTTCGTGCCGTGCCACAACAACGCCGCTGCCGCTGCCGTCGCATCGCTGCGCCGCGCTGCGCCACTAGCTCGCCTAGACGCTGCACGCACAAGGCCGAACCGCCATCGCCATGCCATTTATGGCACTACGGCGCGCGGGCCACGCCAACCTCGAGCGCATGTCGTCGGCTAGTGCCGGCCGTGGTCGCTCCGGTCGCGTCAACCGTGTCCCGCCAAGCAAGCACAGGCCAAGCCTTGACTGCGTCCCCACCGTCTCCCGCCCCCACTACACCACAACACCAAGATTAGCGGTGGATGGTTTGACGTTAAAAATGGCTACAGCGACAGACAAGCTGACGCTAAAAAGTTATAGCGACAGACTTCTACAGACGCTGTAAGTCCTGTCGCTAAAAATCTTTAGCGTCAGACAATACTTTTAGCGACAGATAGTCCGTTGCCCTGAATTTTTTTAGTGATAGATAGTCTGCTGCTACTCTTTAGCGACAGATAGCCTGCCAGTACTCTATAGCGACAGACAATTTGAAGTTACAAATGTTTTTAGCGACTGATGGTTTGACGAGATCATTTAAATGCATTTAAAAAAATAAAAGGCCATTTGGTTGCAAATTAATACAAAAGTAACATCATTGTACACGTTTCTCATACAAATAGATTCATTCATGACCAAGTCCAAACACTCACTAAGACATACATATATGGTCAGCCATTACAAACATGAATCAATGATTCATCAATGATAAGTCTACAATATCAGCTACCTGTATCTAAATGAGATCGACTAGCACCTAAATCAGCTTTGAGTGGCAAGTCATCCACAAACTTGCTACCTAGCACCCTAGCAGCCCCCGAAACCAAAACTAACGTGCAATCAGCAACATGCTAACATAGATCCATGATCAAATAAATTTACTATGCTTCAGTATCATGTATTATTACAAAAGTAGGAATCACTCCATTTTAGATGCATATAAACACTGCTTTTTTAAAGAAGCAAAGTTACATGCCTGTAAAAATTGTAAACCTGCATAATCAACAAGTCTATACTCTTTTACTATAGGATATAAATATTATTGATTTCGTCTAAGTAGTTGACTAGATGAAAAGCAAGGATGGCTTGTTATTTCTCTTGCTACTCAAAAATTCAGAACCTGAAACACATGGTTGAGTTGTTGTTGAACAGAAACAAGCCAAGACCAAGTTGCCGAACAGAGCGAGATGAGCTGCTGCTATTTCAATTGATTTACTGTAGTGCAATAACAGAATGATAAATATAACTCGGGTTACAAATTGCAACTTTCAACTTACAATGAAAGAATGAGATGACATAGTTTCACAAATATAATTCACATATTCAGTTTGCTCGAACACTAAAACTTTCAAACCTTACTATTTGCTACTTATCGATTTATACTAGGTTTGTTTATGCAGATGAAAATGTATAGGTACAATTCATAATTTGCTCAATTAATTAGTAACATTCAAAGGATTAACCTGGCAACAATTTTAAAATCTAGGTTGCTTTGTAAAAACCAAGTATTGCATAGATGAATAATTATAATGTAAATAGATCGGCAGAAAGCCAACATTTTTTTTGAAGAAAATGTACGGTATAGAATCAATGTGAAAAAATGAGTTGTTGGTCAAATAGCAAACAGCGTACCAAGTACTTACCCTAAGTCATATTTTTTTACAATAATATTTTTGGAGCAGGTTACTGCTACTTCAATACTATGTGTTACTCAATTCCAAATGAGCAGAGTTAAATTATTTATCTTCTGTGAGAATTTGAAGGATTTGAGGTTGGCACATATTATAACTATGCACACCGACGATAAGGGTCTCCCAGCACCGACTGCGCAAGAGATTGGACTCCGTTTTCTTTTGAGAAAGTGCAAAGCATTAGAGAAACTTTGTCTGGACTATGTTGTTGGTCTAGATGAGGACGAGATGATTGCGCTGTTCCAGAACTGCAGCAACCTTAGAAGCCTTTCACTTCGCCTCAAGCCTCTGCGCCAACTGGACTGGGATTTCAGGACACCACTGACTGATGAGAGCCTTAAGACCCTTGGTCTAAGCTGCCCTATGCTTGAGGTTGTTGAGTTGACCTTTACGTTTTGTTCGAGTATGTATCCAACAGAAATAGGCTTCACAGTTCACACTATGTGTTACAATAATATTTCCAGAGCAGGTTACTGCTACTTTAACTCAGCTAAACATCCATTATTCTGAAATTGCTAAATTATTTATCCATTGGCTAGGTCTGAATTTGCCTAACGACAAACATGACACATGACATGAATAATTCAGCCATCCACTACTCTATATAGCAAAAACTATCAATTCATAAGAAGAGAAAAAAATATGGTGATAATCATGACAACTCCATCCTTTTGTTCAGTATATGCCACACTGTTATGAAAGGAGAACTACAGGTAGTATTCTGTATTCATCGATTTAGTAACATGCACACATCTAAGTGATAGCAAATATAAAACTGAATTTAAATTAATCACAAAGGCATGGAACAATTGAAAAAGGAAAGCAGCCACCGTCAAAGCAACTGGAAAGAGATAAAAAATGAAGGGAACATAATCAAGAGAGGCAGCTGATTAAGCAAGTAACTGTAAAATAATAACAAATTGATGATTAACTAATGTGAAGTAAACTCTTGTTCTTAGCATATAGCAAGTTGGGAGAGTAAGAGACAGAGAGGAGCTCCGTGCGGTGATGGCCGAGTGCCTACCGCTGGAAGACCCAAGCTTGCAGGTTGTATGTGTAGCAAAAAAAAAAAAAAAACATAGCACTTGTCCTTAAAATCACTTGTCTTTAGATTCTGAATCTACATTATCAAAGTCAAAAAAGAACTGGTCCTTAAATTCACAAAAATTTTAAAATTAAAAATTAAAGGGATATAACAGACATTGCATTACAGATGTACATCCAATTACTTGTTCAAACTATCTGAGCCTCATCTTACTTGTCCTCCAACACAGATGGATAGATATATAATTTACATGGAACATAGTAAGGCATCACATTATAACTCTTTGCATGTGAAAAAATCATTCCCTTAGTTACCTTAGTGTAAGAATCCACTAATGCTAGGTCTTCCTTTCTATCCAGCCTAGCTAGCCTAGCTATCCAGGTGATGCTAATTGGCATTATGTAAGAGTGAGCATACACAAATACTGCTAATGGCGATTTCAAAAGATTATTCTGCTTGACAAATGTCTTAACAGACAAAAACAGAAATTGTTTAAGCTAGAGAGGAGGCACATATGCAGTGAATTAGCAGAGGAAGCACATAAAGATTGATAAACCTGATAAAAGAAGAGAAGCAGTCCATATAAAAGGAGAAGGTTAGCACTCAGTGCAGATTAACTAAGAAAAAGAAAGCATCTATAAGACACAATAAGAAGGCTCAAGCTTTCTGAATTATTAGTACTGCAGTACTATGACCATTAAGAAGAAGCATAGTTCATTGTAGTGGTAAACTTTAGAAGGCGCAAGTATTAGCTTGAAGGATCAGAAAAAAGGGGCATCTAACTGAAAACAACAAGATAATTGAAAAACATGACAAGAGTAAATAAGTTACATGTGCTGTTGATTATGTGAACCTTGGAAAAACCTGTAACACGTTTCAGAATATGATATCTAGACTGCTTAAAGCATACAACTTGTTGGCATTTCTAGCCTGCAGGCATAACACAACATACTTCAAGCATATGGATATATATAGCTGCAGCCTGCAGGCATTTCTAGCCTTTGAAATAAATTCTAAAAGGCCTACTTTCAATAGGATTTTTTTATTTGTTAGTTCAGGTTCTGTGAAATACAAAAAACATCAAGCACCCTATCCACATTTCTAGCATCCACCAGTGATCTACTAACTGGTAACGCCTAACGAAAGAATGAATGCACTCAGAAACATATAGAAACTAAACCTAGGTTATCGAGTCAAAAGGGAATCAAACTATCAGTGAAGATGAGCTACCTGCACTATGTAGATGATAGGAGCCAGTCACACATAGCAAAATCCCTACAGGTAAAAGACCTTTATGTTCTTAGTTTGGGGAAATTCACAGGAAATTGCAGCCATCATAGATCAAGGAACCATATCAATTTGGGGAGAGGAGACAACGAAGGGAGATATGTGGAAAACCTAGGTCAAGGACGGCGAGCTCGGGGCTGGCGGCACGGTCGTCGAGGGGGCTCCGCCGCTACCATGGCGCCCCCATCCCACCTAGTCGCTACCTGCAGTAAAAATTAATTCTTAGGCCAGAACCATAAAAAGATGGAGCAAAGAGCAGGGATAGATGTTTTGCATTCAGTCAATCCAATGTTATTCAGAAGTAAATTCAAGGTAATCAATGTACTTTCTTTATAATTATCAGTTAATCCTAGCATTCACAGGCTTCTCACATCTAATCAGGACTCAAGGTAATGTCTTTTTGATGGGAGTCTAAACTGTTTGCTTACTCTTACATCTCCATTATTGAATACTCTCACATCTAATCAGGACTCTTACTCTCACATCTCCAGGTTTTCAGGAAACTGCGGTTGACAGAGGCAGCAGTGAAGTACAGGGATCCCAAGCACTAAAAAGGTCTAGACATGTGCCTATACATGTGTTGTTTCCTAGAAACGGGTGCGCCATTAGAACAAGTTGATGAAGGATTAGTAGGCCTCCTGGTTCCTGAAAATTCATGAGCATCAACCATCAGCCAAGGTGCCTGCAGCCTGTTGATATACAAATGGCTTTCCTAATAAGAACTCATTTTATAATAAGAACTACTAGAAGCTCCTAGCAACAACAGTACTAACTTTTCAAGGTACTATCATTAAACATTATTGACACTATTTAGAACCTAACCTAACTGCTTGAGTTTGCTGGCAATAAGAAGCAGCAAGAGTAGTCTACGGATTTTAAGTTGCATCATTGTCAGACATCAATACTCAGATTAGCTATTGGGAATTACAATATAGGATCTTGTGCATCTAAAAAGGCAATGGATTGTAAGTCAAGAAGACAATTCTGGTTTGCAAATGACAAGAAGACAACCATATGACTGCATGCGACCTCTGAACTGTGAGAAAGAACAGAGAAGACCAATCTTGGAATGCAATTACTTAGATAACAAAGGTTTCGGGACAATCACTTTAAACATTACTTCGCTATTTTTTCATTTAAATTCAGCAATATTGTTTAGACTGACAGGTTTGACATGGTCTGCAGTTCTAAAAACTTCTAAGTTGTTGATTTGAAACATACTGTATTGCCAATTTACGAATTCTAGAGAATGGCAGTGTGACTATTATTCCTTATCACACTGTATTGCCAAATAACATAGAATTTTTAGCGTAGATCGGAACACACACACACACACACACACATAACTCTAACCCTAGATCTTCTACACACAGCACCTAAACATCCATACATACACAATACTCATCCATAGGAACATATGTACACACATCTGAGGCAGAAAACGGCTCACCGTGGACATGCATATCAGATCTGCAGACCGCACGAGATGGAGGAGCAACTAGAATGATTGGACGACGTAGATTGGACGGAGACGACATGGATCGAGCCCGCATCCAGGCCCATCCTGGCCCGGGACGAGTGTGGTGTTGAGCTACTGCTGCAGTCGACCCACGCGGCGGCGCTTGGCCTTCAGCCAGCTCGCCTAGCCTGGGGATGACGACGCTGGCCAGCCGGCTAGCGGGCCATGGCGCGGCGGTGGCAGCATGCCAGGCATGGCTCTCGGTCGCCCCATCCCAGAGCATGCGGCCCTGCCGCAAGGAGCCAGGGGAGGGGGGTGAGCAGGGCCCTGCGTAGGTGAGGAGGATGCGGAGGGAGCTGGCGTTGGCGCTTCCGGAGGAGGCGCGAGAAGAGAGCGCACGCTGGGGTGAAGAAGACCAAGGGAGAGAGCGAGAGCTGCGTCGGGCTTCTGGTGAGAGACGCCGAGCGCTCGAGCTACCAAAGTTTGGGGATAAGGAGCGCGGCTTCCAGCCGGTGGATGTGTGCATTCTGTTTTTATTTTTTTTTCTTGTTTGTTATTGTGAGTTATATTTTTCTTTTTTTAACCAGACGGTGTGATGTATATATGTCCATGCAGCTAGGGTTTATCATGGTGGGTGGGGCCTATTTTCTTTAGCGACAGACAGATTGACGGTACACTTGGCTTTAGCGACAGACAGTTCAACGCTAAATATGAATACCTATAGCGACAGACACTAAATCGCTAAATGAGGATTTTGCGCCAGATGGTCTCTGAGTTATCTTTAGCGTCAGATCATCCATCGCCAAATATAATTTTTAGCGTCAGATATCTGACGATAAAGCGGTGTTGTGGTGTAGTGCCCTCCCCTGTCCTCTTCTTTACTACCGCCGCCGAGCTGCGCTAGCCCCCCTGCATGCGAGAAGCCATCCCCCATCAATTCCACGTGCCTGCGCCTGTGCTCTCACGTCCTCTCGCTGCCCACCCCCACCCAGACTTGAACCATGCAAGGCCAAGCTCCAATTTGGAGCTTCGCCCCACCATCGCGCCGTTAAGACCCGTCACCGCCCTCACCATGGATAGCCCCTCCTCAACATCTTGAGCCAAATTAGCTAAACCACTAGCCTCGCCTAGAACCCCTCCTTGTCGTGCGCACCTAAGCCATACCTCTACCGTTGCCTCCTCTCCGCTGGCACGACCATGTCGCTGTGGTTCACCATCGAGCTCACCTCGTGCACGCGGTCAGGCTCGCTCGAGGCATCTTCGGTTGAACCATCACCTTCTCTAGGTCAGTGGTGAGTCCATGTTGCTCACTCGCTATCCCTACTGCCTTGTTAATACTGTGGCCCACCGGAACACCGTCACCATTACCGCAGGGTGCCCACCATCGTGGAGAGGCCCTTCTACCGCATCTCAGTTCATGCAGCCACCACCCATCGCTTCACATCAAACCCTAGGTGAGCGTCGGCGTCGTAGATAGGTCAGCATGGGTCCCGTGTGGCCGGCGTAAGTGCCAGTGCCACCGCTCACCGCGCCAGCGCGCGCGGGGATGGTCGAGGACCATATCGTTGTAAAGGAGGGAGATTGCGAGGGTGTTCTTGCAAAGTTGCTGTCTATAGGAATAGTGCGAACAACGCTGTGTGAATACTAGGTAGCGTAGGGGTGTCTCTGCAAAAGCGCCAGCGCACGGGCTGTCTTCCGCCGCGGGTCGACCTGTGTGTG